TTTTAAATACTAACTAACTTATAGAGCATAAATAATATTTTATATTTTGCAGATATGCAATCTGAAATAGATTCATTAAGACAACACATTACCGAGCTTGAGCTCAGAAATGTGAAACCTATAAAACAGATGATGGAAGAGAATAACAAACATGATGCTAGGCTTGAAGAGCTTGAGATTAGAATCTTAAAACCAGAATAGGATTAGGCAGAAAGAGAAATTAAGAAAAATCATAAATTCCAGACTAAGTGCATCCAAATAGCTAAGGAGATTCTAAATAAGAAACCTATGATCGAATATCGTCCTCTTTTTTTAAATGGATTAAAGCTTGATGCCTTCTTCTAAAAATATTAAATGGCATTAGAAGTGCAAGGAACACAACATCGACTTCATAATACTAGCTGGTATAAAGATGTCAAAAAACTCGAGAATATTGTTGATTGTGATCAGAAAAAAAGAATTCTATGCCAGTTAAATGAAATTTATCTTCTTGAAGTATGGTATGATGAGAATCTGAAAATCACAATTCCTCAAAAGATATATAAATTTAAAGAGTGTATTGATCAAAAATACTTTAATCTTGATTAATCTTTACATGGTTTATACAATGACTTAACATCATATGGATAGTACTAATTGCATGTAGCTTACATGATAAAATTACACTTTTAAAAAGGTGATTAGTCAGAGAAGTATTTGCTAAATTGATTACCTGAAATTTCAATAATTATAATTTTGCATCACCTCAGCTGTAGAGCTCACCATGTCCTATTTGCGATGGAAAACATGGGAATTATAGATTACATGACAAATGGTATAGGAATAGAACAGAATATTATCTTTCTTACTTCACTTCAAGCAATAAATTCAAATTTACGATCATAGCATAGACCAGTCATGTGAAATTGATGCACAGTTGATATTTTTACCTAGGCTGTACAACACAAAATTTACATGTGCAATTTTTTCAAAACAAAAGTGTTATAATTTCTTTTGAGTAAGTATATCAGTTTTAGAAGTAATTGGCCTATCACATTATATTCTAGTTTTAGTATCTCGTTTCTTTTCTTTTCTTATTCTATTTTTTTTATTCTCTTTTGTTTTCTTTTATTTCTATATTTTACTTGTAAATAAATACATTATTTTACAAATATAAATTTCTGGTAATTCATTAAATCTCTACTCATTGTAATAGTATAAACACTTTTGATAATTAATCTGAAGTAAAACCTGTAAACTGTTAAAAGATTACTGCTTAATTAAAAAGAATAAACCACTTGAATACCTTGTTTAACAGTCGTAGTTTATGAGAATTACATGTTAACACTATTTATAACTGATTATAATATCATTTTTATAAAGTATTTATTATTAATTTATGTTAAAATTTTGATAAAAATTAATTATTCTATATTATTTTCAGATTTGTTAATATTATTTATTCTATAATTTGAAAAAATTTTGATATTAATATATATGTTATACTAAAATTTAATTTATTTTTTAAGACATTTAGTTCTTTATCAAATAATTTTAATTATTATATTTATTTTTATCTTTTTATAATAATAAGTAAAAATTTATTTTTGTAAATTGAAAAATTAGTTATTTGATAAACTTTAACTTATATTTTAATTTTTTTAAGCAATTTTTATTATTATAATTGATATTTTTGATAAATTTTATGATTAATTTTTTCATTTTTATTATAAAAAGTAAAAAATTATTTTTTATTGTCTGAAGCAAAACGTAGGACATTATACTTTTAGGAGTTAAGGTGAAAATCTGATTGTTACATGAGATTTTCAGTTGTCATGCTACATATATGATAAAAATTAACAAATAACAAATAAGTTGTACAAACGAAAAAAAATTTGTTAGCTGTTAGATTTTTTTTCTTTTGTTACATTTTTTATTGTTAAGTTTTTTTATTAGATATTAGTTTTGTGTTTTTGTTATATTTTTTTATTATTATTAAAATTATACTTTTATATAATTATTTATTGCTAAGAAAAATAAAAATAGTAATTTTAAAATTTAGAAATTTGAAAGGAATATTTTATTGTTTTTCTTACAACTTGTGTCAATTTTTAGATATCATAGAAACAAGTTATTCTTCCTTATTTTTTCTTTCTTAAAGTCTTTGATAATCTTTAATACGCTGGAGTCTTTTGAAATTAAAAAGCTTAAAAATAATATTGCTTAAAGTGTGAACTCAAGATACTGTCACAAAGGAACAACTGGCTGTAAACTTCTTATTACCAATATTTACTATAGCTTTTTATAGTGTAAGCTCTGATTTTTATGTATAATAATAGCCTATATAAGGTGAATAGGAACTTGTGCATATGAGCATAATTTTTCAGATTTATTTTCCTAGATACGTTAAATAGATGCAATTGAAACAACTTTTGTGCTGTCTGAGGTAAAAATAGCAAAATCTTTATAGTTATCAAAAGATATAAGAACTGCTATAGAAAGGAAAGACAATTCCTAATCTTTCTTAAACAAAATATCCTAAACAGTTCTCATTATACTATTGACTAAGTCAGCTTCTATGTACAAGTTTGATGTTAACATAACATGTGCACCTCTTGCTAATAACAATTGTGCTTTAAGGCTATATGCAATGTCAGAGTTAGCTTTCTTAGCTTCATTACCACCTGTATGAATAGCGAATCTTGACAACAGAGTGTTTAAGAATCTAAGTCAGTTTATATTCATTGCATCAATATTGATCTACTTTGTTAAGATGTACATTGCATTAGAAAACATTTTTTTTATTTCTGTTAGGTTCTCCTTTAAAATCATATGATAAAAGTCTTTCAGTCATCCAAAGTAGATTCTCCATTACATAATCTTAAGAGAAGATCTCTAAAGTCTTATTGCTCTTGAGAATCTCTGGATTGATGTTGAATGACTAGGGTTGTAGACATTTCTTAAAGTAACTACCTACTATGTCATTAAGTCAATGTCGCAGATAGATATTACCTTTTAAACATTTTTGCCATATATATGTATGAGGTAGTAAGGTAGTAACAGGTATATGAGGTAGTAAGATAGTAGTAAATGTATAAGTTAGTAAATATAATAGATATTGATATACTATATATATTATATATATTATACTTGTTAATATATATTGATCAAATATGCAGATTCTCTACTTTGCCATAAAATCAGAACGATTTATCAATCATTCAAACTCAACTTAGATGTAGATTGTCATAAAATTCCATTAAATTTCTGGGTCTGAATGATTGACAAATCAGAAATGTGATTCTGATTTATAGTAAAGTGCATTATAATTTATTTCTATTGTAATTTTATTTAAGTTAAATATCAAAATTAAAAACATTATAGTTAAAAATAATATATCTGTTATATTATAAAACTAACAAATTATAATATAAACAAATAAAATGTTATTGTATTATTTTATTATATAAAACTACCATATTACAAATATTATTATTTATTGTATTATGATAAATTATAAAAAAAATAAAATTGTTATTCTAGTTAATTATGTAATATTAGAACATAATTAAGATGTATTGTTTTTTTCAATGTCTTTCATATTCCAAAAATCTATTTAATATATCACTAGGATCATAAATCAAATCGGCCAGATCTGGAGGTTGTATTTGTATTGAAATAGTATCAGATTCTTTTTTCTCATTAATATCATTAATATTAATTTTTAAATCAACAATATTACCAATATCTAACTCAGTACTTGAAAAAAATCTTAAACCTAAATTATCATTACTAATATTTGCTATTTCATCTTTATCTTCCAAACCAATAATGCTACTAACTGAAGTAATATTAACACTTTCTCTCAACTCACTTTCAGTAAGATCTTTACTAATATAACTCAATTCTCTTTGGATATTATTCATGTAATAAGATTGAATTTTAGATATAGCTTCAAGTTTATGTAAAGTCAAATTAGTCTGATTTTCATCCAAAATCCAATTAAGAATTGAGAAATTTCTTTCACAATTTGCTTGAGTTAGATTGATAGAAAAAATTTGACAGGCAAATTCAGATAAATGCCATAGGTTTGTTTTAATTGATCTCTACCACAATTTAGGAGATTCAAGACTAGAAATATAAGAAAGTTCAAAAGGAGCTATTCTTGATTTAAATCTATGAAGTTGAGCCATTAATTCTTCACTTTCTTTATAAGTATGACTAAGACTTTGCCATATTTCAATTGCAACTAAAGCAGCCTTATGAAACGCATCACTTTTTAAACCTTTACTTGTATAAAAGAAAATGATTAATTATAATACTATTAATGTATTTATTTAATGTTATTATAATATTTAAATATCTCGATAATATAGATGAAGATAATAAGCCAAAATATAAAGAGGATGTAAAAATTCATCAAATCGATAATTAAAAATATTAATGGCAAAATATTTAAAAGTATTTGTGTTTGGTAATTGATGTATTGCACAGGCTAATTTAATAAGATAGATGAAGCAATCGGATAAATTAGCTTCATTTGCCTCTAAAAGATTTATACATTCTTTTATTGGCTTTTATATAGAACGAACTGATCAATATATGGAAAAAAAAGATTCATCTTCTATTAAAGCAGCAATATAATTATTTGTAATAGATTCAGCATTTTATTTAAAATCTAATAAAAAATTATAAATTTAAATAAATTTACTTTGTTTTATTAATTAATTTTAAGTTTTTTACTTACCCAATCAAATACTGGTTGAGCTCTTAATAAAGCATCTATTGTCATAAATAAAGACTCCCAATGCATTTTTACCAAAGTTTGTAATCCTCCTCCTTTAATTTTCATATTAGTAAATTCTTATTTTAAAAGAGCACTATTAGCATGTGATGTATCAAAATATCAATTGATTTTATCACATTCAAAAATAAATTTTTTAATAGGCTTAAGTTTAACTAAATCCCTTTTGAATATTAGGATATTATAAAATAAGATAAAAAAAAGGAATAGATATAAAGAATATAAAAATTTTATGTTTAACGAACAAACGAACATTATAAAAAAAAAATAAATAAATTAAAAAAAACCCACTGACATATTTATTTATAGTTTTACAGAATACATAACCAATAGATGATTTACTAATTTCTAAACTTTACGTCATATTAAATGTCAAGGTGCATATGTCAGGAAATACAGTATATATCAAGAGATATGGCATACATCAAGAGATATAGAATACATCAATCACTGCAACAAATAGCATATGTGATGTATTGCCATTACGTTTGCTATAGGGTAGTTACCCTAAGCTTAAGAAATATTTACAACCTTATAAATGACATTAAGTTTATATACCTTCTTGAATAGGTTGTATGCAACAAGACCATTATTAGATAATAGAGTGTTTCTTTGCGTTCATATGCGCAATATGCATCTTATTTTTTAGTAGTTTCTGTTACTTTACATTAGGATCTCTTCTTATGTTACTTAGCAAGGTATGTCTCACAATGTTTAGGTATTTTATTTTCTCTGAATTTATACTTTTAAACAGTGTTATAATTAATAAATTTATTACTCATTGTTTTATCGATTAATAGATGTGTGCTAATAAATTTTTGTAAAAAGTTTTATGTTCTTATTTTGTGATTTGTATGTGATTTTGGAGGTACTGATCAATCTGAATATCTGGTCATCCATCTGAAATTTGATCAGATTCAGATTGATCTGTTTGTATCATAAGATTGACCGGATAGAAACCAAATTTTCTGATTGATCTGATGACGTATTTTAAAATACGAGGCCTCTGATCATTACTATTTTTAGAAACTGAGTTATACAGATTACACAAAATACCAGAACTGTAAAAATTAAAAAAATAGAAAACAAATTTTTTGTAGAATAGCAATCGTTAAAAAAGAAAATGATCAGTGTTATAATTGCATAAAATATAAGGAATACAGAAATTTAAAAATAGAAAATTTTTTTTGTGGAATGGCTATCATTAAAAAAGGAAATTGATTGATATACCTGCATATATAAAAATTAAAAATCATGTTATTTTTCGTAATTTTCATAATTCTGCTCAAAATTTATAATTCTAACTAGAATTATGAAAATTGATCAGATTATACCAGATAATCTGAAATCTGATAAATAGATATTTGGATGATCTGAAATTTAATCAAATCGGATGACAGATTGATCAGATTTTATTAGAACTGATCTTTATGTGATTTGATCTACTGCTAATTACATATGAACATTATTACAGTTACAGTTATAATATCGATTATAAATATTACATGCAAATTTTATTATATTGTTACATTTTGAAAAAAATCTGAATATACATTTTTTTAAAGTGTAAAATATTTTTTATTTTAAGATTACATAGAAAAATATATAAATTTTATTATTTATTTTATAATTTCAACTAGTAAATTTCGCTCTGGACTCATAATGATTTCCATTATCTAGTTATTTAAAAATCATTTTGTTATAATTGTAGATAATAGTTTAATAGTTAATTATTTTCATTTTATTATTTATATTATATAAAAAATTAAATATTATTTTATATATTTCTATATAAACTAAAAATAAATTTTTTAAAATATTAATTCAATATATAGAGATCTCGTAAAAGGTAAGGCTTAACTTGTTGATTATTTTTAAATTATTATTATAATCACATATCCATTTATAATTAATTAGTAAAAGTTATTTTTTTCATTTTTTTGTTGCTTTTTTTTATCATTTTTTTTGTATATTTTCACAATTTTTTTATATAATATGTTTAAATAAAATGAAATATGATTTTTATTTTAAAAATAATGATACAAATAAAACTATTTTAAATGTTTTAAAAGATTCTACAATACTTTTTTATTAAAAATTCAAGTTTTAAAAGTGAAAAAAAATGGATCATATAATGACATTGAGTCAAATTCTAATAATATTTCAGATCTTAAAGAAGATTTTAATAAAATAAATCTAAATAACTTTAAATTTGTGAAAAATCCAAAAAATTATATTAAAGATAAAGTTTATGATGAATTAAAATTAAAAATTAAAGAATTTTTTAAAAGTGAAAAATGTATATGTTGTGCTAGTTATTGTTTTAAAAAAATTAGTTACAAATAGTTTCTTACACATTGAGCTAAGTTGAAAGTTTAAATAAAAAATGCAAAATATAATTATTAAAGAATAACTTATAGCTTTTAAAAAGAACAAAAATACAAGAAAAACTTTAACAAATAATAAAAATTCTTATATTTTAATTATTATTATAATAATAATATTTTAGTTTATCATACAATATATAACTTTAGTTAGTATTACTCATAAGTATATTGATACTTTAATATAGCATTTACAAGAATATAATCTTAAATAGCATATATATGACAATATTAGTAAGGTTCTAAAAAATATGAAATATGTTAAGGTAAATTATAATATTGCGTATAAAGTATGAGTTTTTAAAAAATTATATTAATATACACAGCTTCCTTTACCTGAATAGCATTATAATAAGATTTCTATAGCAGTTATATTTCTTCTAACAAATTTTAATTATATCTTAATATATTATAATTATATATAAACTTATAAAGAACAATATGGTGAAAAATAACTATTATGATAGAATCAACTTTTACTAATATCTGGAGAGTTTTGATATATCACTTCAATTTATGTTTCTAAAGTTTGATCTATATGAAACTTGCGAAATAATGAAACTAGATATTCAATATATTACTAAATATAAAAAGAAGTTAGAAGTTACAGAAAATTATTTGGCTCATTTGATTTGTGATAAGCAAAAACGTGATTACTATAATATTAATATAAATACGTAGTTAAGGATAACAAAATATAATTTAAATACAACCAAATCTCAAATATTATTTAAATCTTTTGAAAGTAATACTTATATCACATATTATTGAGCTCAAAATTTACAAATTACTTATTCACCTCAATAAATAGAATTTTTATTTTTTAAGAGTTTCTGAAAAGTGTATTTATTTAGAATTTGTAATACTGATAATTTTCTTCATACAGAATAAAATAATTATATAATTAATAAAGCTAAAATGCCTGATGATGGCAAATAAGAAAAAGGTATAAATTATACATTAAGTTTAGTTTAGCATTCAATTCAGAAATATAATTGTAAAAAAAATCTGATTATTACATGTGCTAATTGTGTAGATCAAAACAAAAATAATTATTTTTTATTTTTTATTCATGATTGATTAATCATAATATATATGATGAAGTTGGATTAAATTTTATAATACCTGAATATACAAGTTTATTTGTAACAGCTATTTTGGCTTAATTAAAATTCTTTATTAAAAAAGTAAAGTAAATACTATAGATAATATAATTTCAATTATCAATCGCTTACTATAGTTCATCTTAATATTACTTAGTATTATTTAAATGAAGAAAGCTTTTAGTATTATAATTTTAAAGTTTACTTTCAAATGTTCAATAAATTATCTAAAATTTAAAAATACTATTATTTTTATGTTACTTCAAAATGTCTAGAAGTTGTCTTTTATAAAGATAGGTTTAAAGATGATTTTAAACAAATCACAATTTGTATCTCTTTTTTGAATTTAATATTTTACCTTCTACAATAAGTACTAGATCACTTTTTTTAAAAAGACAAAAAGAATTATATAAATAAATTGCATCTTATGTTAATTTACTTTATTATGATATTACTTGTCTTAAGTCAAATGAAACTAAAATAATCTAGCTAAAAATAATATAGATAAACTCATATTTTTTAGAATAACTTCAATAAAGCAAACCTATTTTTTGCATAATTTATTATTGTTGATTTGGCCATTACATTTAAATTATTTTTTTTCATATTTTAAAAATTTGTATTAATAGTATATTTCTAAAATAAATATATTTTTTTTATTTTTTTTTACTAAATTTTTTACAAATTTTATGATAAAATAAAAAGAAGTATTAAGATGGAAAATAGTCTCAATAAGTTTAAGTGATAAACAATATGATAATTTTAAATGATAAGCAAAAAGTTAATTTTATAATTGATTTAAAAGTAGTATCAATTAATGATAATTTATTTAATATTAATAATAATAAATACTATCTTAATTAGCATTCTGTATTGTATAAATATATTAGAAATATTAAAATAAACTATCTGAAGAAATTCTTATTTAAATATAAGATACACTCAAAACATACTATTAAATTAAAAAAAATTACATAAAGTTATTAATATAACAAAAGAGATAAAAATACTAAATAAAATAAATAAATATATAAAATAAAATATATAAAAGAAATAAATAAGATAAAAGTAATAAATAAGATAAATTAAATAGATGATCTAGATGATATTTATGATATTTGTAATTTTTTTTGAATTATCATCTTCTTTTAGATCATTAGTATTATTATTATATTAATATAATAATAGTATTATTAAATATTATTTATATTAAGTTTAATATTATTTTATTTATATGGTTGATTTACTATTTAAATTGATTAAATATTTATAATATACATTTACTAATATTAATTTATTGATTTTTTATTATTTTAATAATAACAAAAAAATATATAATATTAAATTAAAGAATATTAAATCTTATTTAAAAAATTATAATTATATAATACTAATTTATTATATTTTAAATTAACTTATAAAATTATTAAATTTTAATTTAGTAAATACAAAAAAATATTTGGCTGTTAATTTCATTAATAAAAAATATTAATTATAAATGCTATTAAATAAATTAAAATTTTTTAGTAATAAATTTATTAATTTAAAATATTAGTTATATTCTTTTTCTGAATTTTATTTTATTTAAATTTATTAATTATGCTGTTAATGTACAATCTTTGTAAATTGTGATAGTTAAACAAAATGACAAAAGTTATTTTTTTTTAAATTTATGTAATAAAATATGTAATTTATATTAAATAAAATTTATACTAAAAATGAATATATCTGCCTATTTTGAAAACGTTAATTTTATATAAATTTCATATAGTCAACTAAGATGTATTAATTAATTTATTTCAAAATTATGTAATAATATTTATGTATAAATACTTATTATAAAAGTTATACAATTAATAGTTTACAATAAAAATAGTTTATTAATAAAATATAAAAAAATAAAAGAAGATAAAAAATAATGAAATAAATAAAAAAATAAGAAAATTATCTAATAAAAAGTAAAATATAATTAATAAATTAAGTATTGTTTGACTAGTTTAAATTGCTAAGAAAAATTTTATTTAGATTTAGATTTACCAAAAAAGATTAAATAATTAAGTCTTATATATATATTTTAAAATATATTGTTAATAGAATAATTGACCAATCATAATAAAGTCATGTGAATGACGCAGTATAATAATCTCTTAATTCTGAATTCTGAAAATACTGAGAATTTTACGAATTCTGAAAATATGAAGGATCTTTATAATTCTAAAAATCTTTCAAATACTGATAATAATCCTAATTTTATGAATTAAATGAAGTCTAGTATTATACTTATTTTCAATATTCTAAATTTTATTATTATTTTTATTATTTTACATATTTTTATTATTCTCGATATATTTATTTTACTTATATTTTATTTTACTAAATTAGTTAATTTATAGCATAGTAATTAGTTAGCCATGATAAAAGAAATTTTGTATAAATAGATAGATTTTTTGCTCTTGTTATAAATTAACTCTCTTGCGAATACAAGTTTTACTATTAATAAAGAAATCATTTAAAAACTTATATTTTTCTGCCTCTTCATGTCTTCATATAGTCTAACGTGATCTCTACACATTATTTATAATTGAGTTTATCATCTGAATTCTTTAATTAAATTGTTTATAATCTCGTCTTTCAAGTCTTCATACTTGATAAATTTATTTAAGTCCAACGCGTAAATTTGATAAAGTTAAAAGTTAAGCAGATCCTAATGTCTTAATCGCAGTAAGCTGTAGTTAGAAATTTTGAGTAAAAACTTGATAATATGATCATCCTGAGTTAAAGAATTCTATGGTAACAACATAGAATAATATATTAATTATCTCAACTTTTTAATAATATGAGAAAAATCCAAAAATTTTTTTATTAGTTTACTCTGCTGATCATATTCATGTGAATAAAACTAACTTAATAATTAAAATTTGTAGATTTCTTTCTTTTCTATTAATTGCCTCTCATATTAACAATTTTAACAATTTCAATAATTTTAATTAAATTAATTATGTTAACTATGTTAAATATATAAAATATATAAATATGTTCTATATATTAATTATGTTAACTATATCAATTATATTATCACTTAGGTTACATTATATAAATCTATCATATTTTGATAATTCAATCACAATACTAATGATTATAAATAAGATAAGTTAAATTTTATCTAATTTTTGATATATATTAATCAGTTATAAATAAGATAAATAAAATTTTAGCTGATATTTTATTTCAGGAATTATTTATTACATGTTTAATTTTTTGATTTAATCAGTGATATTTTATATTAAATCATTTTTTATTAGTATATTATTTTTTACTTAATATTTCATTTATTATTATATAATAATACCATGATATTTTTAATATATTTTAAGTTAAAAATTATATAAATGATACAACTTTTTATAAAATTATATTTTAATTATAAATCAGCAATTATATTTAAACTAGGTATTTTTATACATTTTGTATTTATGTTTTTATTAATTTTTCTTATTTAAGTGTTAAAATTTCTATAGATAAATATTTATGAAAAAAATAAAAATAAATACTATATATATATATAATTTAATTTTAAGCCTTTTTTTTCACAAATAATATCATCTAAAATTTTAATTTGCTCAATATAAGAGTTGATAAGTAACTTATTTAGCAATTTCATAAGGTATTACCTTTTTAAATAATATCTATCAAATTTTAATTTTTTAAGCATATTGGTTCTTTATAATAGAAAGAAGAAATTCCAAAAAAAATTTTTTGAATCAATATTAAATCTGAACTTATTTTATTAAAAAATTTATATTTAGCTTATAAAGTAAAAATGCAAACACCTATATATTATTGATCATTTTAGTAACTTAATTTGCAATTTGTCTTCAATTGCTTTTTGGACTTTTTCTTGTATTAATAATTCAATTATACTATTATTAAATTCATTTTAGTCATGTGATTAGTTAACATTTTGTTTAATTTCTTTGAACAGTTCTCTACAATTTACAATGATTGCTAATGTGTCTATCTTTATTCATATCTAATGATTAGAGTGCCAATCTTCTTTCGTTCCATGAAAATTTCTTCGAAAAAGGATTTCACTGGTGATTTCACTGGTGTATGTAGATATTGCTTGAAATAAATAAATAAAAAAAAAAAAATAAAAAATAATGACAAATTTCTAATAAAGAAAATGTTGGTAGATCCCAGGCAACGAAGCATCGTCCTCCTATTTTTTTGTAATGAAAAAATCAGCATTTCTTGCTTTTATAGTCCAGAATATCTCCATCTATACATCTTCATAATGGGAGACGTGCTGAAACTTTTTCAATAAGTACACTGTTAATCGTCAACAATTTTGAAATAATTGTTTATTTATAAGAATTAAACAAGGAAAAGGTTAATTATTTTAGTCATCAAAAATCATATTTTTGTTGTTTAAATCATCATATATTTTTTCTATTTAACAAAATACAGTCTGTTATTTTATCGGCTATTGAATGTTTTGAATTTTTTAAAAAATTATAAATACAGGCATAAGGCATTAAAATTTGATTGGCAATTTTTTTTTTTTTACCGTTACGCAAAATTATTGAATTTCGGGTTCTTAATGTCTTCTTTCGACGATTATCTTACTAAAAAATACGGTGCGAAGCCCACAGCTACACAAGGGGAAACTTCGAAGAAAAAAAAGAAAAAGAAAATAAAATCTACATCTGCGGTTGATAAGGTGGGAAGTGTAGCAATAATTGACGAAGAGGACATTACTGGACAATGGAAAAATATTAATTCTGAAGATGAGAATGACGATGCTCCTGTAGTCGGTAATTTATTTCATTAAAAGAAATTATTTCTTTGACGCAGCAACTTTAATTTTTTTTTTTTTTTTTTGTCAGATTTTTCAGTTGCAGAAGAAATACAAAGATCCAACAAATGGAAACCTATTGTAAATGATGTGGGAGATGAAGCTCCACAGATTGGTTAGTTACGAGATTATCAACTAATTGAGAATGTTGTTTTACTTACTGACGATCTTTTTTTTTTTTGTTTTGATAGTAAATGCTTCTAACGATCTCCTAGAAGAATATATAACTTCTGTGTCATCCACGAGTCGCAAAAGAGATATTTCAGATGTTGAAGAATCAAAAACAAAACGTCATAAATCATCCTCTACTGACGAAATTCATAAAGATGTAGATCGAGCTAATAAAAACGAAAGGGAAAAAATAAATAAAATGGAACCTTCATCTGGTCGTCATGCAGCTACTATATATCGGGATAATGTAGGTATGTATACCTAAAGATTTCACGTCAAAACATTTTATAAATATTATTAATTGATTCAACATATTCTTTACAGGTAACAAAATTGATAAAGCGGCAAAAAGAGCAGAGGAACGACGTAGAATCGAGGAGGAGGAGAGGTTGTTAAAATGGGGTAAAGAAGAAGAAGCTCGTAAAGATGAAAAGTTGCGAAACAAACCTTTAGCAATGTAGGTTACCTTCTTTTTTTTTTTTAAAAAAAAAAAAGAAGCTTTATTAGTCCAAATTTTACTCCGTTCTAATGTTATCTATTATTTAGATATAAGGATGACGAAGATTTAAACGAAGAATTGAGGGCCAAAGAAAGGTGGAATGATCCAGCCGAAATGTTTTTAACCAAGGTAAATTATTTTTATGAGATTAATATGGTATCGTATTTTATATAAGGATGATTAACATATTCCTTATATACTTTAGAAAAAAGGTAAAAAAAGTTCTGGCAGACCAAAATATCAAGGTCCACCCGCACCACCTAATAGATTTAATATTCAACCAGGGTTTAGATGGGATGGTATTGGTATGTAATGATCTTATTGAGGTGATTTAGCTTAGCATATAGCTCTTTATTAATGGGCCTTTGTATTTTAGACCGATCAAACGGGTTTGAAAGACAATATTTTGAGAAACGTAACGCCAGAGCAGCACTCGCTAGTGAAGCGTATAAGTGGTCTGTGGAGGATATGTAAATTCAGGGTGGTAGGGTTTTAGTGCTATCGTTCACTATGATAAGCGATTGCAAAAATAAACCATTATTCTCTTTCATAATTTGTACTGAGAACATATATTCAACATTTGAATAAATTATTTCCTCTCCAAGTTGATAAAAAAGTTGATTTTATTTATTTGTAAATCTTTGAAAACTTTAAGGGAAAGGATCAAATAGTAGAATTATTATTATTGTATACTAAAAATTTTAATTTAATGTCCAAAGAAATAAAAATTATTTATTAAATTAACATGTTATTTCTGCATTGATCCAATCATATTTTCTACTAATTATTACATGAATATCATCACTTTGAACAATGTCTCCCGTGATGGGCTTAACAACCACGTGAATAATATAAACATGCTAATTGTGTTTCTCATCATAACGATGATTTTTTTTTATCGTTTTTTAAACAGTAATAGAACGGTTTCAATTTTTTCGAAGTTATGTTAGAGAAATGCGGTGAGAAAGTGACACTTTTTTTTTTCATTTAACTATTACTTGTGTCGAGGTTCCCCAACTAAAATTTATAATAAAAACGGAAAATTGATTATATATTCACTAAATTAAGATAACGACAAAATTTATATTTATTATACTTACTATTTTTACCACGTAACTTAATATTAAGAATACTTTCCAACTTTCCAAGTATGATGGGGTTTGGGATAGTTCGACTCATCTCATAATCATTAATCTTTGAAGAAATAAATATATAAATATTTTATTATTTTCTGCATGAAAATTTTTATAAAACAAGTAAAAATGTGTGCATGAAAATTTATGATACTGACAATGTTAGCTTTTTCGTTGATCTTTTGACCGAGTTCTTTTTGTGTTAAACCTTTGGCTTGCCTTGCCTGTTGAATAGCTTTACCAACTGATAAGCTAATTTTTGGTGGAGGTGCCACTTCATTTTCTCGATCAAGTTTAGCTATCCTTTGATGATCGGTCATAGCATGTCCTTTATTGGTACCACCAGAAGCTTATAAAAGAACAATTTGTAAGATTAATTCTTGAAGCATAACGTATTTAAACAGAAATAGGAGCTTGTACAATACTTACTTTTGCGTTCTACACCGACAACAGCACCGGCACGACGAGCCGCGTTAATCGCTGTAGTACCTTTAGTAACTTTAGCTACGGTCGCTTTTTTACGAATAACAGTTGGTTTATCCCAATCGTCGTCCATTTTTGTAAAAAAAAAAATGAATTTTAGAATGAGTTAAGTTGAACAATGAAATATATATCTACGATAGGTTATCAGCTGACCTTTGACACAAATTTAGATTAATTATATTTGATATCAATTATGCATCTGCAAATTATATGCGCAGTCCGTGCGGAACTAGGTGTTTATATATAAGTCCGGTATTGCCGTGAAAAAAAATAAAAAAAAAAATAAATAAATTTAATATATATATATATTTTTTTTTTTAAAAAAAAAAAATTTTAATTCTTAAATGGCCAATCCAATCAGTTTATTAATTAAAAGACCAGGTTTCACGTCAATTATGTCGGAAATACGTTATAATTTTAATCGATATAAATCAGAAATTGCCACCAGTGTTAAAGGACAAACTCCTAAAAACCTTCCTTTAGCCGGATTTCGTGTTGTTGATCTTACACGCATTTTGGGTGAATATTATCATAATTCACACGAAATTTCATTATTACAATTTTTAATTTAAGTCTTATCTTAGCTGGACCTTATTGTACAATGTTATTGGGTGATCTTGGGTAAAAGATTTTTATTTTCTTCCCTTTAAAAAATTCAAAATTTAATGAATGATCGCCATTTTTACAGTGCTGAAGTCATCAAGATTGAGAATCCCAAACATGGCGATGATTCCCGAACATGGGGTCCCCCATGGGCAAATAATAAAGATCCTAACGATAAGTCTATTCCGGAAAGTGCATATTTTCTCGCCGTTAATAGGAATAAGAAATCCATTACTGTCAACTTTAAAACACAATTGGGAGCTCAAATTATAAAGGATTTAGTGAAAAAAAGCGATATATTAGTGGAAAATTATGTTCCTGGAAAATTAAGTAAGTTGGGATTAGGTTATGACGAATTAAGTAAAATTAATCCAAAATTGATTTATGCCTCAGTTACTGGTAAGTTGAAATATGATGACCTATCATCTTTGTATTCTAAAAAAAAAGATGTATAAAAAAAAAAATTGTGAAAAAGGTTATGGTCAGACAGGTCCTTATGCACATCGTCATGGATATGATGTGATGGTTGAGGTATGTGTTCTTGTGTGATATTAAAAGATTATATTGTGATCAATTATGTATCGAGTCACATGATATTTAGGCCGAAGCTGGTCTTATGTATATTACTGGGGAGCGAGATGGAGAACCAGTTAAAGTCGGAGTAGCGATCATAGGTAAAAAAAAAGTTTCATCTTTTCTAATTAATTATATGTATTAAATAAATTAATCGGAGATTCAATATATATAATATATATATATATATATTATAGATTTAACAACTGGTATGTAATATATTTGAAAAATGGTATTTTGCAATTTTTTCACCAGTGCTAATTTTATAATATATAGGTCTTTATACGCATGGTGCTATCATGGCTGCAATTTTATCAAGAATGCGAACAAATCAGGGACAAAGAATTGATTGTTCTCTAATTGATTGTCAGGTTGCTTCATTGGCAAACATTGGTAGCAATTATCTCATTGCTAATCAAGAAGCCGAACGCATGGGAAGTGCACATCCTTCCATCGCTCCATATCAAAAGTTTAAAACAAAAGATAGTTATATGTTGATTGGAGCTGGAAATGATCGTCAATTCGAAATTTTATGTAAATCCGTCAAAAGAGAAGATTTATTACAAGATGAAAGATTTAAAACAAATTCAGATCGCGTAAAAAATCGAGATGTGTTATCTAGATTGTTTGAGGATATATTCATTAAAAAGGATACTGAACATTGGCTATCAATTTTTTCTGATAAAAGTATTCCTTTCGCTCCAATTAATAATATTAAACAAACCTTTGAACACCCTCAAGTTATTGCTCGAGATATGATTCAGGAAGTGGATCATCCAAAAGCTGGAAAAATTAAATTAACAGGTTAGAACTTCTTTCATCTTCACATATTGTAGATTAAAACAGTGATACTTAAAAATTTTCCAATAATATAGGAATACCTGTTAAATATAGCAAAGATAAACCAAGTATAAGATTACCGCCTCCAACACTTGGACAGCATACCCATGAAGTTCTTACAAATATTTTAAATTATTCGAAAGATAAAATCAAAACTTTGATTGAAGGAAATGTTATTGTTTAACTTAACCATTTAATACAGATTTACTACCGATCATAACGAAAGTGAAAATGATATTTTAAATTGAACCAATTATAAATTATTTTCTTCATCTACAAATTTTCTTATTTGAAATTTTAAATTCTGATTGAAATCCTTTAAATCATTAATTTCTTTTGATTTTACTGATCTAAAGTTTTTAAATATATATTGTCTTCTTTTAATTATCGTATTAAGGTTTCCGAATATTATTTTTCAGTTTGAATTTGAACTATTAAAAAAGAATCATAAAAAATGATTAGTATAAGCTAAGCTAGTATATAGTTTTTGCAAATTATTTATCATTTCATAGTAATTATATTAAAAGATAAAATAACCAACACCCACTATTTCGAATTTCCTGATTTTTGATATAATTACTCAATACTAGAGTGTCTAGGATTATGCTAAATTATACATTTATAATTTTGGCCAAAATTATCAAATTAATTTATGAATTTATTTAATACACTGAAATGGTAAAAGCTTTACAGTCGTCCCCCTTTATAGTCATACCTATTGGGACCAAAAATAAAAAGTGTGATTATAATAAAAAGTTACTATACAGGGATTTTTATATGTTATTACTAAGGGTTAGATCGGGATGGGTGTAACTATAAAACACTGTGATTATAATGAGGTTTTTTTATATAGTATTAATAGGTATTAGTTCTTATGAAATATATGCTTATAATGAAAGATTTATATGATGTGATTGTACAGGGGGTGACTATAGAGGGGGACGACTGTATTTATAAAACCAATCTATTAATTTTTACTATTAAACGAAATAAAATTTAACATAATGATAAATTCTTTAGATAATTAATATTAAAATATTTTTTATAAATAGAAAAACTACATTCAATATTGGTTAATATTGGTAAGATATTTTTTTATTTAACCAATATTTTTCTTAATTAATTCATTAAAATTAATATAAATTTCTTATTCTTAAATTAGAAATTTTAAATTTATATATAATAGAATATAATAAATATTAATTTTTTTATATTTAAAAATCTACTTTAGATTAAAATATTGAATAGCTTTAAAAATTGATAAAGCTGAATGATTCAAAATATGTATTTCAAATTTTTAGGAATGTTAAATGATTCTTAATTAGTCTTTATGATTTAAGAGATAACTAATTCTAATTACTTATCTATAATAAATAATTCTTAACAAAAAAAATAGCATAATTAATTTGTAAAAAGTAAAAATAATATTTAAAATTGGTAATTTTGATGGAATTATTAAATATAGAACTAGTCTTAAAGATCCAGTCTAAATTCTAAAATTTAATTTTTAAGAAATTTTAAGATTCCAAGAAAATTTATTATTTATTTTCATTAAATAGCTTATTAAAATATTAATTATACTTTGATATAAATTAATAAATTACTTATTAAATTATATTTTGATAGAAGTCGCATGTGACTTAGATTAGATTATGAAGGTAACTTCATAGTATGCCAGTAACTTCATAATATAATGGTAACTTCATAGTCTGCCAGTAGCTTTATAATATAATAGTAACTTTATAGTCTGCCGGTAGCTTCATAATATAATAGTATCTTCATAGTTTGCTAATAACTTCATAATCTAATTACATAATCTGATGGTAATTTCATAACCTAATATCACAATCTGATGGTGATTTCATAATCTAATCAATTTATTTTTTGGATAGCTTCTTTATATTTATAGTATTGTTTTAATCTTTTCTTATATGATATAGTGGTAATTTCATAGTCTAATAGTGATTAGTGATGCTTTAATTTAATAGTGATGTCATAATCTAATGGTATCTGCTTTCTTCTTGTTCCTAATTCGTTTAGATGATAAATTCTATATTGTTGATACTGACTTTCTGTAGCTATTTGGATATCTGGTTTTATATTGAGGATGCTGGCCTTCTGCATCTGATTGAATGCTGGATTCTATATTGGAGTACTTTCCTTTGCATCTATTTAGTTGCCTTTTTAGATGCTGAAATCGTATAAAAAAGATGATAGGTGATACAGTAAATTCAATATTAATCTGCGTTTAAATTTGGCTAGCATTATACCATAATTTTGGTTGATCTTTAGAACACATGATCTGAAGGATCCAAGTTGGTATCATAGTAGCATTATAGAAGTGGTGAGGAACTAGTATAGTTCTATTAGAGAATTAGTGATCCTGACTTAATCCATAAGGTATGAGTCTCTATTATAGGTTACACTGCGATAATCACAGGTTCAGACCTCAGCTGAGGCATAAAACTAGATGATTTTCATAAGAATTTCATATGTAACTGAACACGTGAACGTTTAGACTAATAAACATTAGATACTAGTCGATCAATCTATTGATTGACATTAATAATGCCTAAATACTGAGTTTGAAGAACATGTGGATGCAAATAAAACCAGGGATCGACAGAAACTTAGCCTTCGCTGACAGGTCTGTAATAGATACTATCTCATGTCTTCAAATTTAGGAGCCCTTACACAAGTAAGAAAGTGATTAACCAGTAATTAGTAGATTTGGGTTCATCTCAAAAGGGCGAAAGTGCCTAAGGTAATAATAGACTGCATTGCACGCTGCAGTATCTTTCAAATCGAATTAACACTAGAGTTAGAAGCTGAGTTCAATTCCTAGGTGAATTTGACGCTATGGGTACAAAACCACCATCTATGTAAAGGACCTGATCCCATAGTCTTGGTAGTTATCAATAAGGTAAAACCCTATAAATTAGATTGGTAAAAATAAGGTCTGACAAGCTCTATGGTTGAAGTGAGCCCTCTATCCAAAGGTGATGGTACCCAATAAGATCTAGTGAGCTTTGTGACATGAGAATAACTTGTTATAAGGTGGTCTATACTAGATGGTAACCGTACGGAGATATGTTTCTAAGCAGGTTGCCATACCCCTTAATCAGGATTAGAGACTTTAAGAGGTTACTTAACGCGGGATCAAATTTGTCTTACTTAAGATATGCCTTCTACTAACTCTCTAGCTACCGCACATTAATAGTAAAAAAAAAAAAAAAAATAGTATAGTTCTATTACAGTCAGGGATTTTACCAAATATAGAATTTCTAAATACAGTGTTGATCGACAAATGATCGACATTCTAGAAG